TATATATATAGTATATATATATATATATATATATATATATATATATATATATATATATACGTTAATGTATGCTGAAAGCTCCTTAGCGTTTTAAGTTTAGTGCTTAGTTGTGCTTAGTTGTGTTATTCAGCCGCAATGCACCAGCAGGTCCCTCCTGTGCCACCCCATTAAAAAAAAAATCCTAGAATCACCCCTGCTAGTAGAATGAAAATAGATATGAGTTCGTTTTAAGGATTAAACGTTATAACAGCTTGCCATATGCTGGCGAGAGGGTCTGATTCTGAATCATCTGAACAATCACACAGAATACATATAAATACACAGAGCATTACACATTTTAAAAAAACAGAAGCAGGACTGAAATAACTCTAAACACAACAAATTTAGCACACTCCCAAATACACATAAACAGTCAATATTAGTCATCCGCAGATGACACTGAAACTCAGCATAAACTATGCATTTTAACTTGCTTAAAAATATGCTTCAGCCACTTTTTCCTAATTTTGATATCCTCTTGAAGCACGTCTGAAGGATCTTATAATATTACTTGAATATACACTTTTCAATGTATTCGAGTATATTTAGGTTTATAACGCGTCTGGTTCTCACCTCATTAATGAAATTGTAGTTTGCGAGTAAAGCTGCAAAGTCCTCCTCAGCGTCAGCTGCCTCCGTAATAATCCTATGATACGTGCAGCATGATTAAGTCATAAATTAATCTATTACCAAGAGCGCTTTTCTTCCCTTTTTCAATAGTTGCATAGTATGACTTAAGCGCAGTAGGGAGGACAATCACGCTTTGGCACCTTATAAGGCTGTGAATTGCATTGAAGCTGCACAACCAACACAGAATACACAGACTCACTTTCAAACTCAAATGTTCATTTCCTACACAACTGAAGGTATGCATATAAAAATAAATGACACAATAAGTGTAATGCATAGCTATGGCCAAAAATATTTCATTTTATAGCTTTTATTTTCATCCTTACCTAGACATTTAATGTAAATTATCTGCAAATAATAAGAAAATGTAGCAAAATAAACAATATTCTCTCTATTAAGCAGAAAGCAATAAAAAAAAAATGTAATTACACCCAGAGCAAATCCCTATTAAAGCCTGTTTCTGCCACGATAAAAAAAAAAACCAAAAAAAAAAAAAAAAAAAAAAAAAAATGGTAATAATAAACTAGTAAAAATTACGAAAAAAATATTGCAATTGTTAGATAAAAATTCATAGACTAAATCAGAACTGCAAAATGTAAACACAGAATTCAGAGAAAAAAGTTAGAATTGTGAGATATAAACTTAGAATTGTAAAACTCTGAATAAAGACATCATAAAGTCTGAATTGTGAGATAAAACAATGCAATACCTTTTTATTCTGTGACGGAACCAGCCTTATTATAAAAATCGAAAGAAACACTATGAAAACATCTCAAAAACAGTCTGCATCTAAGAAAAAGGCCCTCCGATATTACTGACATTTCTGCTATAGTTCATTATCAGTTTTTAAAACAAAGGAAGTTAAACAATATTTGCAAGGTGATAAATACTTTCATTGTGGTAACTCATTGTTAAACTCGCTGAAAAGATAACGATGAGTAGTGATATGATTTAATTTCCAAATTTCATTCTTATAAAGTGTTCTAAGTCAGGCCGAAATACAGTATTTCATTTTGAGGTGATAAATAAATGTATGTTTCATTCTCAAGCACACAAAACACATTAACATCTCATAACAGAATGAGTGCAGATTATTGTGACATGTTTGGCTGTCCTCCTGCGTCCCCCTGTGCCTCCTCCAGCATCTGCTTGTACTGGCTTTTGAAGAACCCAGCCTTGTAAAAGGAGAAAATAAGCAGGAATAAAGCATTTAACAATATAGATAGTGTTGGCAGGTGAAACTGAAGGGCCAGTGATTAAAATTGACATGATTAGAATTGATGTGATATACCTTATAGAGGGCCGCTGTGATGAGAGCCAGTAGCAGCAGGCCTCCTATTACACCTCCAATGATCTCTTTAGTCAGATTCACCTCCTCATACACCTCCACTTGAGTATTAATCTACATAAATAGAAACATGTGAATTTTAGCAGTCAGATGTCACACTCAAGAAGTCATACTTCCCACACAGATGTCTCATGTCAAACAATAGATACATGATTACGATTTTTGGCTACTTAGTTGGTTAATACTGTTGGTGTATTATATTACTACACTGAATTCAGTAAATATGAACTCTCAATCGAAGATTTCAGTCGAGCGTGAAATGAAGCCTTTGTTATCCTAAGACTTTCAAGTTGGTAAGAAATGTTTTCTAAAAAATGTTTTCAAATCTTACAGACCCTAGACATTTGGATGGTAATGCATGTATTCTTGTCTCTGTCAAAATCAACAAAAAATTGTGTGACTTCCTGACACTTGTACGCAGTAACACAGCCACACATCTACAGGAAGTATATATGTGTAAAAGGATTGTGTGTGTGTCTGTGTGTGTGTTTGCATGTTTATGTGGTTTATGAGGACACAAATTTGTATAATAACATGGGTATGACATAGGTATTACAACGAGAAGGTGATTTATGAGGACATTTTCAGTGTCCCTGTAATTCAGAAGGCTTATAAATAATTCAGAATTCGTTTTTTTGAAAATCTAAAAATGCAGAAAGTTTCCTGTGAGGGGTAGGTTTAAGGGTAGGGTTGGTGTAGGGCAATAGAAAATACGGTTTGTACAGTATAAAAACCATTACGCCTATGGAGAGTCCCCATAAACCATAAAAACAAACCTGTGTGTGTGTGTGTGTGTGTGTGTGTGTGTGTGTGTGTGTGTGTATACAGTGCTGCTTGAAAGTTTGTAAACCCGCTTGAAAGTTTGTAAACCCTTTAGAATTGTCTATATTTCTGCATAAATATAACCCAAAAAATCATCAGATTTTAATGCAAGTCCTGAAAGTTGACAAAGAGAATCCAATCAAACAAATGAGATGAAAATATATGCTTTGTCATTTATTTATTCAGGAAAATTATCCAATATTACATATATGTGAGCGGCAAAAGTATGTGAATCTCTAGGATTAGCTGTTAATTTGAAGGTGAAATTAGAGTCCATGTTCAGAGTTGTTTTTAATCAGTGAGATGACTATCAGGTGTCAGTGTGTGCCCTGTTTTATTTAAAGAACAGGGATCTATCAAAGTTTGCTCATGTTTGTGGAAGGGTATCATGGCACAAACAAATGAGATCTCTGAGGATCTCAGAAAAAGAGTTGATGTTGCTCATCAGGCTAGAAAAGGTTTCAAAGCCATCTTTAAAGAGTTTGGACTCCACCAATCCACAGTCAGACAGATTGTGTACAAATGGAGGAAATTCAAGACTACAGTTACCCTCCCAGGAGTGCTCCACCAACAAAGATCACTCTAAAAGCAAGACGTGTAAAAGTCCACTAGGTTTCAAAGGACTGCAGGCTAACTTCTAAGCAACTAAAGGCCTTTCTCACATTGGCTAATGTTAATGTTTATGAGCCCATCATCAGGAGAACACTGAACAACCATGGTGTCCATGGCAGTATCGCAAGAAGAAAGCCACTGCTCTCCAAAAAGAACATTGCTGCTCTCCAAAAAGAATCTGCAGCTTGCTAAAGATCATGTGGACAAGCCAGAGGAATGTTTTGTGGATGGATGAGACCAAAATAGAACATTTTGGTTTAAATGAGCAGCGTTATGTTTGGAGAAAGAAAACACTGCATTCCAGCATAAGAACCTTATCCCATCTGTGAAACATGGTGGTGGTGGTAGTATCATGGTTTGGGCCTGTTTTGCTGCATCTGGTCCAGGATGGCTTGCCATCATTGATGGAACAATGAATTCTGAATTATACCAGCACATTCTGAAGGAAAATGTCAGGACATCTGTCCGAGAACTGAATCTTAAGAGAAAGGGGGTCATGCAGCAAGACAACGACCCCAAGGACACAAGTCGTTCTACCAAAGAATGGTTAAAGATGAACAAAGTTAATGTTTTGGAATGACTGAGTCAAAATGTGGAAGGACCTGAAGCAAGCAGTTCATATGAGGAAACCCACCAACATCACAGAGTTGAAGTGGTTCTGCACTGAGGAATGGGCTAAAATTCCTACAAGCCATTGTGCAGGACTGATCAGCAGTTACAAGAAACGTTACTTGCGGTTATTGCTGCAAACTGCTGCATACTGAAAGCAAAAATGTACATACTTTTGCCACTCACAAATATTTAACACCGGATCATTTTTCTCAATAGATAAATGACAAAGTATATATTTTTGTCTTCTTTGTTTGATTGGATTCTCTTTGTCTACTTTAAGGATTTGTGTGAAAATCTAATTCTGTTTTGGGTCATATTTATGCAGAAATATAGAAAATTCTAAAGGGTTCACAAACTTTCAAGCAGCACTGTGTATATATACACACACACACACACACACACACACAAAAGGGAAGTGTGTATATATACACAGTATATATACACAGGAAGTAGTAGTCTGAAAAAAAAAGAATAAAATAGAGATCAAATGAATACAAGTAACAAACTGTAAAACAATAGATTGCAGTTACAGGACTGTTCAATTAAACAGAGCATGGCTTTGAGAGCTCTTCATACATTCATTAGACTTGACATGAAATCTCACTAAATTACCTGAACAGACGGTGCAGTTTGTTGAGAATCAGAGGAAAATAAAACATATTTGCTCTTGTCATAATCCAGATATGCTGAACTGACCAGATGGAAAACAGCAGCTCTGAGTCCAGTCTAAGAGAGACACAGATTATGACATTACAAAATGATGACAAAAATATGAAAATATGGTCTGTTTTGTGATATGAATCTGCTTTTAAGTCAGAGACCTGCTCAATCCATCCAGAGCTCACATTGCCAGTTATATTATAGAGCATCCTTTCATTCTTTATGAGAGTGATGTCACAGCTGAACTCGGCACACACCGCCACAGAGCAGTTCTGACACAAACACACACACACACACACACACACACACACACATCCAGAGAGTTTCATTAATGTTTGTTTAACATATACACTGTGCTTTAAATTATTATGCAAGTGACATATCAGACATATCAGATCTTTCTGAAGATGAAAAGCATGAAACAGTGCAACGTCTTACAAAAGACATGAAAGTTAAAACAATTAAAACTTACTATAGATTATCAAAGTGTCAAAAGATAGTGAGAGATTAATTGTATTAAAACAGCAGCTATAAAAATGCAAAAAAAAAAAAAAAGTAAATATTTTGGAATACAGTGAATTATTAAATAAAAGAGGAAATCAAATGCGGAAAAAATAAAAACAAAACTCAAAAAGTGTCCTCACCACTGTACGTTGACTTTTAATAATGTCCATAAAATTGGTGATAACAGGCTTTTTCATGTTCTCCCGCTTACAGCCAGAAATCTTTCAAATTAATAAATAAACAGATAAGAGCGCCACAGTTTTCAACATGGGTTACATTTTTCTTGATGACATCATCAAACTAGCTTCTGAACAAATAATGGGTGATGGATGGGATACTGTTACTTTCCCCATATTATACAGAAAATATTGAATTAAAAGAATCAGTGTATGGCTTGTAATATAAGAAATAAATTCACACACTTGCAGACTTGAATTAGTCCAGATATCAGCATCACCAACTTTCACTGGTACTTTGATGAAAACCTTGAAAGTTAATTCTCTGAGGTCATTTTCAATCTGAAAGGATACAAATAAGGAAGAGTAAAGTACAGTATAGACATTTTGCCATGGAGTGTGTTCTTCTGTTATAGATCTTAAGAATGAAGTAAAACCTTTTTACTCAGGGTTATTAACATTATTGAAAACTAAAACTAGAACCATTAAAAAAATCAATACTTGATATAAAATGAACAATAACAGCAATAAAATAAAATATATAAACCTTGTATTATATTTTAGGTAGCTGCCAAGGCAAAATTGATCATTTTCATTGAAAGTACGAAAATAACTAGAACTAACATTTTATAAAAATCTAAATAGACATATTTATATATTAAAAGCTAATACAAAAGACACAACCAATTCACTAAAATATTAACTAAAATTAAAATGAGAACAAAAAGCCTCAAATGTAATTAAAAAAATCAAATTCAAAATGTTGACAAAAACTAAAAAGGTATATCGATGAGATTAAAATATAGTTGTAAATAAAGCGGATTATTTTACAAGAAAATACTATTTCAGTTTTTCTACTTCAAAATTTCACGTTAAATTCAATGTTCAGTTGTTTGTGGAATTTACTAGCAGTTTTTGAGGGAAAATTGTTTCTGTGCCAAATTATTTTTCAGTGTACTTACAGATATAGAATCTGAACGAATACCTTTATTATCTGGTGGACTGGTTTCATAAGATCCTTTTTCCCTGAAGTAAAATTAATGTGGATGGTGGAATTTTCATGCCTGTCATTAAAAATTAAGAAAGACGATGACAATATTACAATATAGGATGAAAAAAAAATGGTATTGTTTACTATTTATACAGAAACATGGAGCAGAGCACTAACCTTATCAAGGCAATAGAGATGGCATATTTGACACCAATGGTCTTTTCTTTGAAAAATTCACTGTCACTAGCATGTTTGTCATTTCCACTGTGAGAAATGGAGGTTTTGTTTATTAGCAGACTTTATCAGTTAAAAATGATTGATAAAATGATGATGTGAGCAGCCAGAGCTCATGGTCAAAAGCTGTTTTGCATTTTGACTTCCGTCAAACAACTTCAAGCACACAACAGTCACACAAAGATTATGTCATACCTTGTGACCGCAGCCTTAAACCTCACATTTTGGCCCAGTGTACTTTCTTTATTAATACTGTATGTAATCTCAAACACAACCTAGAATTTGGATAAAAATGCCAGAATAAGAAAAATAAGACTGAATGTTGGACTTGTTAAAAGATGGTCATTTGTCAGCAGAACATGAAATTTAAGTTGCTCTGGATAAGAGTGTCTGTTAACAGCTTTGAGTTTAAAAACAGTCAGTAAATTAGTGTGTATGTGCACATAAGTGGGGCTGCACGATTAATCATATTTTAATTTAGATTTCTCTTGATTAATTAACCATAATTGTTCGAAACTGGCCTGGTTATTTATCCTAAAACCATTTATTTTTTATTTTATGTTACATTTTATATTTACATTGTCTTATTAGTACTATTAGGTCTTATTAGGTATTAGTAACAAGCCTCCACTAGCTTTCATGGTTGCCAGATGTCAAGAGTTTAAAGGCCGCTTGTACTATTTTCTGCAACTAAATCTGTGAACAAACCTTCTCAGTGACAAACTGTAATAAATCCAAACATCAATCTCTACTATAATGTTTGCGATTGTGGTTGCTGAATAAGTGCACACATGCAACGACTGTGCTACAATAAAATGTAAAAAAAAAAAAAAAAGATTTTGAATTTCAGTGTTTTATATGCAAGCTTTCCATAACCAATTCTCACTATAAACTAGTTGCCTATTAGCATGCGTATTGCTAGCATGTTGGCTGTTTATCAGTACTTATAAAGCACATATTAATGCATGACCATATTTTAGATCCCTTAATCCTGCAATTGTGAGATGTTAATTCAGAATTCTGAGAAAAAAAGTCAAAATTGCAACATGTAAACTCAAAATTTCAAGAAAAAGGTCAGAATTGCGAAATGTAAAATCTATATTCTGAGAAAAAGTCTGATATATAAAAAGTCTGAGATATAAACACAATTGCAAGGAAAAAGTCAGAATTGTGAGATAAAAAGTCACGTTTACCTTTTATATTTTTTATTCCATGGCTGAAACAAGCTTCCGTAGTTTTAGCTTTTGAGAGAAGCTTCTTAATGTTTTACCAGTTTGTATGTAGAGAGTGTGTTAATGTATATGATGAATATAATGAATCAGGAAAGCAGACTTAGATAAAATAAACCCTGTGTATGAGCTGACATTCTCTTGTTTTGTGCTTACATGAACATGCAATCATTCTGATGAAATGTAAAAAGAAATTTCTTAATTAATCACAATTCTAATTTTTGAGCAAAATAATCATTGATTCTCAGTATTAAAGGGGTCATATGATGCAATTTCAAGTTTTCCTTTCTCTTTGGAGTGTTACAAGCTGTTTGTGAATAGATAAGATCTCTAAAGTCTCAAACCCAAAGAGATATTCTTTATAAAAGTTTAGACTGGTCCACGCCCTCCTAAAACGCTTTGTTTAAACATGCCCCCACATGTCTACGTCATGATGTGGGAAGATTTGCATAACGCCGCCCAAATGTTGAGAAGGGTATAACTGCAGCCTGGAGATCTCCAAATGGGGGCGGGAACTCCAAAACGGAGTGAGAGCTCTAAAATCGGACGTGGCTTCCTCCCATTGACAGACAGGCACATGACACGCATGCGCAATTTTTTCTCCCAATCCAGTTCAGTGGAAACTCCGCCCCACAGGTGATTCTAAAGATTTTATTGGTTGTGTCAATCACAGTGTTGATTTCCTACACTATGCTACAATAAATGCTAACTCCTAAGCCTACCCCACACCTGACCCTAACCTTAACCAGTGAAATTGACTGCACGGCGGGATTGGCGCTGAATAGCGTGGTAAAGAAAGTTCAGGAGATAAGTAGTTAATAAGATTGTGCGATATGAGATCACCGAGCAGGGCCGTTCCGTAACTCCCCAACCGGACCTCACCGGACAATGGCACCTTTTTAGTTACACCCAGCGTCACATAGAGGAGAAACAATAATGTATGTGGAAAATAATGTGTTTTTTGAATCTTAAACCGCATAAACACATTTAATTACACCAAATACACAAAATAATGTTCTTTTTAGCAACATCATATGACCCCTTTAACATTATCGTGCAGCCCTACACACAAGCAAACGTTCGGTTAGTGTCACGGGTGTGGTTGTTGACCTGAGAGTTGTCCTTGAGGATGGGTTTACTGATGTAGCAGCTGGTTTCTCCTAGTTTACCTCCTTGCACACCATCCAGAGACTGACACTCCACTCTGCCCTGTTCATGCAGAACGTTCATAATATATTTCAACACACATTTTATTGCACCTTCAGTGTTCAATAGTCAATTTGCTTTAGAAATATTATTGTCATCATTTTTAACTGTTAGTTTCAGCATTTGTACCTTTGTGTCTGGCTTTACCTGTTTAGATGTGATTCTCCTGTAGGAAAATCCAAAGGCGTAGTTGAGAGTGAAGAGTGTGTTGTATGAGTTTTCTCCTCTGTTCTCTACAAACACTGTCACATTGATCTCCTGCATGATCCCAACCTCGATATTTTTAGCTCTGGATCACAGAAACAAAAGAGAGGTTAGTGGGTGTCAAGATAGTTTGGAGTTATTCATCTCTATCAATATTAAAGTTTAGAAATAGAGCAAATGATTTGCTCACCCAGAGAAATTAAAATCCATTCTGAGGTCATCCACACATAAATTATCAGTTCCACAGTTTATCTCAAAATCTAGCTGTAAAACAAAGTGAGGGCACATAAAAAAAATGATGTGATGTGATACAAAGAGCTAATGTTTATTCTTCATTTCTGCATTGGTTTCTGCTGGCAATGGTGGGCACCATGACATATTTAAAGTAACATACCATATTTACAGTCAGAAATAACCTTCCCTTTATTTTTGCAATATTTGCCATGCTAAATCATTATCTGATGGGCTGTAAGACACTAAGGTGTTTGCACATACTGTAGAAAGTGCATCATTTCTGCTCTTAACTTTACACAGATGAACTCTTACATTGTGGTCTGTGGTGGTCTTTATATCTGGATGGAGAATTGGCCTCAAGTTTTGCATTGTTCTAGATGTAGATGGTAGACCATTAAATGTCAAATTTAACTGATTGGACAATGAGTTCAGAGCATCTTCTGGACAAGCCTGGTGGAAACAAGAAGTAATAAGAAATGTTAATAGCAAAACACTCTAAAAATATATATATGGGACGCTCCTGTTATGCATCTAAATGTCCCCATTATATTTCTTAAAATGTTGAATAAAATATTAGACTCAACTTTTTTTAATCACAGTATCACAATATTATATATATTAAGAAACCTGAATGACCTCCCAATTTTTAGCCTCCATTCATCAGATTCACTAAAATCTAATCAGAATAGCTAGACAACAACAACAACAATACCATTTACATTTGATGCTTACCTCTATTAAAAAAGAATGATTTCTGCAAACTTCCTGCAACCCAATGTTCATCACATCATTGAGGAGGCGGTTTTTGTCCGAGAAATATGCTCGATATTTCTGTCGCTTGGCATCCAGCGTTATGGTGTAATTAATATTTGCAGCTAAATCTAGAACACATGATTGATCATAAGAAGCAAAAAAAATTACATTTGCAATGCAACCAGGTGTGGCATTTCAAGAGTTCACCAGAATACTACAAACCTCGAGTAGAATATATGTGATGTAAGCACAAAAAAACTCAATTTTAGTATGTAATTAGTTTATGAAAAAACCTGTTAGGCTATGTTTGAATCCGCTCATGGTGAAGCACACAGTCAGTTTGTTTTGCAATGGCTTTGTGCAGTCTGTTACACTGGTTGGTATTTTGGTTGGGTTATAAGTTACTTTGTTTTCCAAGAGCAAGATGGGCCTGGACCTGAATGATTCACATAACAATGATTGATTACTATT